CAAGTGGTAGAGCGCTAGCCTTGAGCTGAAGAGCTGAGGGACAGCGCCCAGGCCCAGAGTTCAGGCCCCACGACCGGACCCAAAAAAAAAAAAAAAACTAAACATAGAACTACCTAATGACCCAGCAATCCCATTCTTGGACATGTATCTAAAAAATTACAAACTAGAATACAATAAAGCCACCAGCACAACCATGCTCATTGCAGTAAGATTCACCATAACCAAAGTGTGGAATCAGCTCAGATGGCCCTCAATGGATGAATGGATCAAAAAGTGTGGTGGCATTAGAAACAATGATATTACATTGTTTGCAAAAAAAATGGAAGCACTTGGAAAGAACCATGTAAACTCAGGCTCAGAGAGACAAAGAATAATTTTTTCTCATATGTGGAAGATAGAATTAATTTATAAATATATAAAAAATACTTTTGGGTGGTATTCAAGTATACATAAATATATTAATTAAAATATGGCCTACTCAGCTGGACACTGACAGTTCATGCCTATAATTCTAGCTACTCAAGAGGCTGAAATCAGAGGATCATGGTTTGAAGCCAGCCGAGGCAGAAAAGCCTGTGAGGTTCATCTCCAGTGAACTACTCAGAAAAAGCTGGAAGTGAGGTTGTGGCTCAAGTGATAGAGTGCTAGCCTTGAGTACAGAGAGGCTCAAGGACACACCCACGTCCTGAGTTCAAGCCCAGGACTAGCAAAAAAAAAAAAAAAGTAGATTCAGGGGAGAATTCAAATGGTGTAATTCTTTAGAAAGGCTCATACTGCAACAAAATAAACATCAGGAAATGGGTAATCACAGAGGAGTGGGGTGGGATCAAGAGAGGGGAGTGGACAAATGAAGAGAAGGCAAGAGAATGCAATCATCAAGTTCAAAGCGTATCCTACATAATTAAGAAAAGGAAGGGAAGAGGTGGGTTGAGAGGGATGGGAGAGGATGTTGAAAGGGCTGACACTGATCAAGATGCACTGTACTCATAAACTGCTTTGTTGAAAGGTAACTCCTCTGTACAACTACTTAAAAATAATATTTTTTAAAAAGGTAGAAGAAAAGGTAACCAATGCAAGCTTCTCCAAAGCTGAGGAAGAGCATCTAGATTCCCATGCACCCAAGATGGGGGCCAAGAAAACCTGAGGGTTTGGTCCTGGGGCTGCTTGGTTGAACCCAAGCCCATGAAGGTCGGTGTGAGGTGGGGATACGGAAGGGGGAGGAGGACCAAACACACAGAACTCTCAGGTAATGGGGCCTAAGGCTGGCCTACAACCCTTCAGGGTCCGAAGAGCTGGAACAGGCAAGAGGCAGGTACCACCATCAGCAAAAGCACTGGCAGCGTGGAGCAGAGCTGCTATGCACTCCTCATTGACAGGCAGGGCAGGAGCGAGGCAAAAAGGGGAAAGATTAGGCAGATAGGGAGAGACAGTGATCCCCATGCCCCCCCCAAAAAAAGAGCATCCTTTCCTCTTCCTGGGGGGCCCTGGAAAGCTGAGATAAACCCTGAGGGAAGCAATGACCCTAACCACTAGGAAACAAACAGACTATCTAGTCTGTACACTCCTCCTCCCCAGCCCTCCTTGACTGGGAAGCAGGTGGACAGGTCTTTCACCGCATGCGTGGCCCTCCCAGCCGAGAATCTGTTTGGACTCAAACCAACCGACCAACAGTGAAGAGGCTCTCTGCACCTTCTCTCACTTTCACGTACACTTTGCCTCTGTTCCCACTTTTCCTGCCTCATAATTCTTTATGTGGTGGAGAAAAGAAAAGGACTCAAGACTCCTAGAACAGAGGCACCATCTCCAACAGTGTCTAAAATTCCTTGGGCCTTCTAGGGATCCCTGGCTCTGAGGACAAAGTTCCCTAGAGACCTTCGGATGGATTATCATGTCAGCTTTGGGAAAGAGGAACAGCCTGGACCATGGTTGGCTTGTGCTCCACCAGGAAGCTCTATATAAAGTCACTCCCTTCCCTTGTTGGTAGCCAGCCACAGAGTTGGTGATAAGTGCTCTCCAGGCTCTCTCCATGCTTAGAAATTCAACTTTGACCAAAAGGGGAAAATAATGCACCCATCTTACAGGAGGAGAAACTGAGGGCCAGCTGGACTGAGAAAAAAGAATTGCTTGGCTTTCAGCCCAAGATTCTGCAATGGTCCCCGCTTCCCAGCCCACTTCAGCTCTCACTTGGAAATCAGGTTGACCCCACCCTGCCACCAGCCAGGTGGAGGTGACTCATCCAGAGTCCCTGACTCATACTTTTCAGTCAACAAGCCCAAAGCCAAGGACCTGGTGGCCACTCCCAGCTTTTCTCACCTTTCCGCAACCTACATTGAGCATTCCGGCCCTTCCTTCCCTCCCCCTCACACCCTCCCTCCAAGTATTTACAGAATAGCCTGGAGAGGGAAAGTAACTTTCCTAAAGTCAGGAGCAAGCAAGCAGCACAGCCAGGGTGGGGCCAGGCATCTGGGCACCCAACCCAGTCCTTGTCTCTGCCTGGATGGCCCGCCCACCCTGGCCTGGATTCCTCTTGAGGGTGGTAAGGAGGAAATGTGGTCAGGTACAGGGTAGGCCATAAGTGTGTTGGGGGGGGGAGGTTGGAGCGTCTCTTGAGTCCCCTGAGACCACCAGCCGCTGCTTCCACCCTGAAGGCCTTCTAGTGGACTCCAGACAGTGGTCCTCAGTGGACTTCACCTGGGCATAAGATGACGATAACAGATGTCTACCTTGTTCTACCTACCTCCCAGGGCTGGACAAGGAGAAGAGGTGCTCCGTGGAGGAGGGGCTGTAGCTGTGGTGGAAGTACTTCGCAACAGAAATCAGTAGTACCTAGAAAAGAACCCAAGAATCTCCATGTCAGGGTTAAAGGTCAGCTAGCCAAATCCCCATTTGGTATTTCAGCCTCTACTTACCTGGGCTGCCAGCCCTGTGGGGGTGACCTACAGCGGGTCCACTCCCCTGTTCCCTAACGACTCCTCAGAGCCTGGAAGGCAGTGATCATGACCTTGAATGCTGTAAGTGTTCACAACTGTGCACCGGCTGTCTCCCAGCTCTTCCTAACCCTAAGGTGCCATGTTCTCTCGCCTCTTCTCGCATGCACTGGATGAACCCTGTCTCTACCATCCGTAGAAGGCCCTGGATTGGACATTCAGGCAAGTTCCAGGGCAGGGCAAGCCGGACTCTCACCTTCCTTCAAGCTACCAGGCCTCAGTTCATCCAGCCTAGAATCTCCTGGGCACATTGAAGCAGCCCCGAGGCAGGTCTGCATTCAGCCAGCCTCAGAGTTCAGGACTTGGGCTTTACACAGTAGCCTTTAATGCCCTACGTGGATAACCTGAGCAAATTACTTCACTTGGTGACCTTCTCTGTGCAAAGGAGATAATCTTAGACTGCACTAGAATCTAGGCCATTGCAAAGAGTCATAGAGATTTTTTTTAATGTCAAGAGTTGTGCACAGTGCATGTGGACTGTGATTATTAATGACTTGTTCTTTTTTTCCTATAAACTTGTTGTCATCTTGTATACATGCAGTTTGGGTACCCAGGGCATTGTGGTGGTGCACTCCACTTCTATACCTAAGCACGGTTCTTGTATTATCCAGCTGCTCTGTCAGCGAGCCAAGTGGCAGCCACATAAGGCGAGTAGGGCTCTCCCTCTGCCAGGAGGCATGCTCTTTGCCAACAAGGATTCTAGCTCCTTTCCCTTTTGAGCCTATGATGTAACACAGGACCTGGAAAGCCATAGGACCACTGAGTACCTGACAGATTGGAGACAGAAGGCCCTCTCATGGATGGAACAGCTCAGCCTCAGCTTTTTCATCCCTCACCTGTCAAATGCAGCCCCGAGTTTCACCCATGTCAACACCTGGAGTTCCAGTCACCTATCCATAGAGGAAGATTCCTTTGCCCAAACCAGCTTCTCCAAGCCAAGGGGAGAGGCCACCATCCCAAATGCAAAGAGGCCCTGCCAGCTGCTGCTGGCATTAAGACACAGATGAGCCCTGTTCTCAGGCTGGCAGTAGATGGCCCAGATGTTGGTGGTGATTTCTGCACTGTGGGTGACACAGGTAGAAAGCAGTGGGCAAAATCAGAGAGGTCAAAGGTTAGGTGCTGGGGGGGGGTGGCTCTACACATGCTCTGGTGTTAAATGGCAACTCTGCAAAACTTTCTCAAAACCTTCCCAGATCCCAGGACTAGATCAAAGCAGAGCTGATTTTTGTCATCCCTGTGACTGATGAATGACCTTTTACCCTCTGATAACTCTGTATGAGAATGAACATTTCACATCCTGCCTGCCTTGTGATGGCTTGGCTTGTTTGCTCACAGCCGGTGCTCTACCACTTGAGCCACTCCCTCCAAAATTTTACTGGTGGCTTTTTCCTGGTGAATTGGAGGTGGAGTGTCACAGGTATTCCTATCCTGGATGGCTTTGACCCTCGATCCTCCAGATCTCAGTGTCCTGAGTAGCTAGGGTTACAGGTGTGAGTCACAGGTGCTCAATCACATATTCTGCTCACTTGAGGGGCTTGCAACAAACCTCACCACCACCTACTATCCACACAAGGAATCAAGCCAGACACCAGGTACCACATCCTCAATTCCCCCCCCACACACACACATACATACATACACACATACATACATACCTATACCTGTTTTGCTCTCATATCCAACCTGCCACTTCAACCTTTGACCCTCTCCCTTCCCTCTAGCTCCTCCACAATACAACTCATCAGAGCAGGTCTAGACCACATCACTGAGGATCAGACTCTGCCCCAGCTCCCCATAGATCCCAGACAACGTGCAATGTCCACCCTTTTTTGCCAACTCCCTCCACTTCAGCTTTCACCTACACCCCACAAGCCCCAGCCAGGTACTCCACACTGGGACCCTGGAATCTTGTGTATAGTCACTGTATTCCATGTCCCTCTGCCTCCCTACAGTCTTTTGGTCACTGGCATGGTCTATTTCCACACCAGGTTCTCCTGTTAGATGGAGTCTGGCTTGGGGCCAGATCTGCCATGAGTTCAAGTTCACTAAAGGAAAAACTGAGTCAATCACAGACCTGCACATATGTATAACCCATGTACATGCGCATGCACGTGCACACACATACACACACACACACACACACACATTCACACAGAGACTACTAACAGTACAGATGCTGCCATCTATGGGCAAGAAAAGCATTGTGCTCTTTGCAAGGCTGGGACATCAGGATCCCAAATTGGCTTGGTTTACAATGAGCCCGGGCTAAAACCAAGTTAAGTTGGCTTTCCAGTTTGGACTTCAAGGCCACAGTACACTTAAAAACAAGAGCAGCCTGGGCTGGGAAGGTGGCTCAGTGGTAGAGCGCTTGCCTTGCATGCTTGAGGCCATGGGTTCGATTCCTCAGCATCACATAAGCAAAAAGAAAAAAAGCCGGAAGTGGCGCTGTGGCTCAAGTGGTAGAGTGCTAGCCTTGAGCTGAAGAGCTGAGGGACAGCGCCCAGGCCCAGAGTTCACGCCCCAC